GGGGGGGGGGGGTGGTGAATAACAGGCACTCTCTTTCCATCTCTTCTTCCAACTCGTTAATCACATTGGCTCTGGGCTCAGCTAAGGGCACTGTGGCTCTTGAGTTCAGCTGGTAGTTATTGAACACATATTATGGCCCTAGCGGGGTGCTTGGCATCGTGGGGATGGAGACTTATATAAAGCTTATTTCTTATCGTTAAGGAGTTTCTCATCTCACAGATGGAGCAAGAAAGACCACAAAACAGAGGAACTCAAGACTTAGAACAAGGAAAGAGATCAGTGTGGGTCTGAGTAGCTGAGGAAGGCTTTATGTAGGAGAAAGGACTGGAGCTGGGTCTGGAAAAAGGGCAGCACGAAGAGATGGGGAGAGGGCGAAGGCTGGGTTGACCGCGCTCACCAAGTTAGGGAGGGGATGCTGGGACAACCCGTTTGCCTGCATCCTGGAGGGTAAATGCATTGGAGACTGTTGGAGAGAGAGGGAAGGGAGGACTTTGATTTTCCTCTGATCAGCGGCAGGTAGTGATGGGAGGGGTGGAAGAGACACTGTCTGCAGCAGCCGCAAAAACCTAGAAGTGAGGTGAGCACATAGCAGGGACAGTGAGGGGATGCGATGAGGTGAGAACTGGAGTGCTGCTCACCTCACAGAGGCCTTGGGGTTAAATGACGTAGCCGTGTTCTTTTACTCCTTGATGTTGGAGATGAAAGTAAGGGAGGAATTAAAATGACTCCCAGATTTGAAGCTTAAGCGAGGGGAGGAGGGCAGTGCCGTTGATGGAAATAAGGAGGCTCTGAGTGGGAAGGAAGGAAGACCGATTTTGAAGGGAAAGTGATGCAGAGCTGTGTGTGAGAGAAAGGGAGGACAGTCAGGTGATCCTTTGAGTAGGGGAAGAGTGGGGCGGGAGGTCAGGTGTGGGGTCTGCAGCAGAGGAGTTGGGTTGTTTGCCCTGACCTCTGACACAAGAGAATGCCTGGTTTCTCTCCAGAAGTGCGGAGAGCTGCGCAATGACCCTGTTCCGTCCCCAGCGTAGACAGTTACTGGCACTTGAGCAGCTTGCTGTTCCCTCCTCCACTCACTTTTCCTCCTGATCTTTTGGGAGCAAACCCTAGACATTGTAGCATTTCATCCATAAATCCTTCAGTGTATATCTCTAGAAGACTAGGCCTTTAAAAAAAAAAAAGAAGTGTGTATTTTGAAGCTTTGAGATTTATTTCTTAGAGGGAATGAGTATCTAGAGAGAAGAGGAGAGGGTGAAAGACAAAGTTTTGGGAAATGGCTAATGTTAGTATTTTTACTTTCTTGTATGTAGAAATGACAAGAAATATTGCCTGCCCAGAAAATGTCTTTTTCTTTGGCAGCACAATTCCCTCTAGTTTTCAGCCTTCCCTGTTGGCCTTCTTCCCAGGTTCACCTTCTGTGCCTGCTAGCAAATGGCTTCTATCGAAATAGCATCTGCAACCAGCCAGATCTGCGGGCTATTGGCCTCTCCATCATCCCGACCCGCTTTACCAAAATGCCTCCTCAAGACGTGGATATCTGCTACCTGTCAAACCTGATGAAATGGTATGGCCCTCTGGCCTGTCCTGTGGAGCCTTAGTGTAGGATTTGTGTCTTAGAGGCTGGGTGCATGTCAGTTCCAGACATTCCCTGAGGTGATCCTGTATGCCAGGCTGTGGGCACAGCATTGAAGATAGAGAAACGTCAGCCATGGTCTCTGCCCTGGAAGAGCTCCCAGGCTGGTCAGGAGACAAATACACCCCACGTAATTAGAGTAGGTGATGGGTTCTCTGGGAGAGGTGTGCTGGGGACTGTGGGCACCTCTCTCAGCTGGGGGCTGGAAAGCATCCCCAGGGAGGTGAAGTCTGAGTTGGGTCTTCAGTCATGAGTAGAAATTAGCCAGACAGGGTGGGAAGAGTGGAACACAGGCAGGCAAGGCTCGTGATTCCCTTCCGAGACTCCCCCTTCTGATTGTCTTGGCCATAAAAGAACAGAGTTCCTTTTTGCCCTGACCTCTGACACAAGGGAATGCCTGGTTTCTCTCCAGGTTCATTGGAACATTTACAGTTAATGCAGACCTTTCAACCAGTGAGCGAGATGGCCTACAGACTACGTTGGAAAGGAGATTTGCTATTTACTCTGCGAGAGATGATGAAGAATTGGTGCACGTAAGTGATTCCTCCCAGCAGCACTATTTTTGTTAGTACCGTTAGCTAATGGTGATGGCAGTGCTGTGCCAGGTGCCATTCCAGATGTTTTACACGTATCTCCCTATTCAGTCCTCGTAACATAAAAAACAGGTCAGAAGCTCAGAGAGGCTAAATCACTTTCTTAGGGTCGCTCAGTTGGTAAGCATTGGAGTCAGGACGGGGACCAGCATGTGAGTTGAAAACCCGCAATCTTTCCTTTCGATGACTTGGTCTCCTGGTGTGTTAAAGCACTTAATTTTTGGTCAGGTGCCTAGAATTGTTTCCAGTAACTATTCAGAAATTGTATTCAAAAGTCCCAAGGAAATGTTTTTTCAAATTGGCTGCCAAAATCCTCAAGAAAGTGCTTTCATACCTTTTAATTTGGGTGATGACCCTGACAGGCGGCTGTGCAGTGAGGAGAGTTGTGTCTGCCACAGGGGGTCATGGTGGAGAGCTCTTATGTGTAGATAGGCTTTATCCAATGCCCGACAGTACCCTTAGGTGAGGCTCTGTCTGAGTAAAACAAAAATAGAGGTAGACATATGGTTTTATCCCTGGAAGATTCCTGTTAATGCACAGACTTTTATCTGAACCCCAGATTCCCCGTTTGCTTAGTGAAAGAGACTGGACTTTTTATATCTTTAGAAGCCAAATGACTGGCATCTTTACCTCTCTTCTTCTGATTTGGCTTGAAAAAGTCTAAGATATCTGGCATGGCCAGTAAGTATGCTATAATACCACCACCCAGAGAAAAACATTAATATTTGAGTACTGTCCTCCCAGAATTTGTTCCTGTGTATTTGTGTCCATACATATTGTTTTGTTTGTGGGTTTTTTGGTGTGTGTGTGAGGAAGATTAGCCCTGAGCTAACATCCGATGCCAATCCTGCTCTTTTTGCTGAGGAAGATTGGCCCTGGGCTAACATCCGTGCCCATCTTCACCTACTTTGTGTGGGACGCCGCCACAGCATGGCTTGACAAGCAGTGCATCAGTGCGCGCCCGGGATCTGAATCTGCGAACCCTGGGCCGCTGCAGCGGAGCGAGTGCACTTAACCGCTATACCACTGGGCCGGACCCTGTGGGGTGTTTTTTTAAAAGCAAAAAAATAGTTTTTTTAAAAAGCGAACAATTCAGTGACGCCTTTAGTGCATTTACAGTGTTGTGCAACCACCACCTCTGTCTATTTCCAAAATATTTTTACCACCCCAAGAGGAAACCCTGAACCCATTAAACTGTTACTCTCCGTTCTGCCTCCTCCCACCACCTCAAGCACTTGGCAACCACCAATCTGCATCTTGTCTCTACGCATTTGTGTATTATAAAAGAAATCATATAATATATGACCTTTTGTGTCTGGCTTCTTTCACTTAGCATGTTTTCAAGGTTCATCCATGTTGATAGCATGTTGTCAGTACTTCATTCTTTTATGGCTGAATAATATTCCGTTGTGTGGATAGACCACATTTTGTTTATCCATTCGTCATCAGTTGATGGCCATTGGGTTGTTTCCACCTTTTGGCTATTGTGAAGAGTACTGCTATAAACGTGGGTACATTTATTTATTTGAGTACTTGTTTTCAGTTCTTTTGGGTATATACCTAGGAGGGGAGTTGCTGGGTCATATGGTAATTTTATGTTTAACTTTCTGAGGACCTGCTAAACTGTTTTCCGCAGCAGCTGCACCATTTCACATTCCCACCAGCAGTGTATGAGGGTTCCAGTTTCTTCACATCCTCACCACCACTTGGTATTTGCCATTGTTTTGATTATAGTCATCCTAATAGGTGTGAAGTGGTATCTCATTGTGGTTTTGATTTGCATTTCCCTGATGACTAGTGATGGTTAGTGCCTTTTCATGTATTGGCCATTTGTATATTTTCTTTGGAGAAATGTCTATTCAGGTTGTTTGCCCATTTTTTAATTGGATTCTTTGTCTTTTTGTTGTTGAGTTGTAGGAGTTCTTTATATATTTTGGTTACTGGACACCTATCAGATATATGCTTTGCAAACATTTTCTCCCATTCTGTAGGTTGTCTTTTCACTTTCTTGATAAAGTCCTTTGAGGCACAAAAGTTTAATTTTGACGAAGTCCAGTTTTTCTATTTTTCTTTTGTTCCTTATACTTTTGGTGTCATATCTAAGAATCTATTGCCAAATCCAAGGTCATAAAGATTTCCTCCTGTATTTTCTTCAAAGAGTTGTTTAGTTTTAGCTCTTACATTTAAGTCTTTCACCCATTTTGAGTTAATATTTGTATATATTGTGAGGTAGGTGTTCAACTTCATTTTTTTTGCACAAGGATGTCCAGCTGTCCCAGCACTGTTTGTTGTTCTTTCAACTCTTGTATTATTTTCACTGTTTGTTGAAGAGACAAGTTTTCCAGTAGGGGTTGAATGGTCTTGGCACCCTTGTCAAAAATCAGTTGGCCACAGACACGTGGGTTAACTTCTGGCCTCTCAGTTCTGTTGCGTTCGTCTACGTGTTTGTCCTTGCTCCAGTACCACACTGTTTTCATTACTATAGCTTTGTAGTAAGTTTTGAAATCAGAAAGTCTGAATACAACTTGGTTCTTCATTTATAATGCTGTTTTGGCTATTCGGGGCCCCTTGCAATTTCACGTGAATTTGATGGTCTGCTTTTCCATTTCTGCTAGTAAGGCCACTGGAATTTTGGTAGGGATTACATTGAATCTGTAGATCCACTTGAGTAGTATTGCCATCTAGACAGTATTAAGTCTTTCAATTCATAAACATGGAAGTCTTTCCTTTTATTTGTGTTTTTAATTTTTTTCAGCTGTATTTTGTAGTGTTCACTGTATACGTCATTCATCTCTTTGATTAAATTATTTCCTAGGTATTTTATTCTTTCTGATGCGATTATAAATGATATTGTTTTGTTAATTTCCTTTTTGGATTGTTCATTGCAGGTATAAAGAAACAGCTGATTTTTTGTGTTGCTCTTATACCTTACAACGTTGCTGAATTCATTTATTAGCTCTAGTAGCTTTCTTTTGCGTTCCTTGGCATTTTCTATATATAAGACCTTGCCGTCTGAATAGAAATACTTTTCCTACTTCTTTTCCGGTTTGGATACCTTTTGTTTCTTTTTCTTGCGCAGTTGCTCTGGCCAGCACGTCAGTACAGGGTAGAGTAGCAGGTGAAAGCAGGCACCCTGGTCTTGTTCCCCGTCTTCGGGGGAAAGCTTTCCCTCTTGCGCCATTGAGCGTCTTGCTAGCTGTGGGATTTCATGAATGCTCTATCGTGTTGAAGAAGTTCCCTTCTATTTCTAGTTTTCTGAGTGTTTTTATCACGAAATTGTGTTGAGTTCTTTCAAATGCTTTTTCTCTGTCAATTGAGATGATCATGTGGTTTTTCTTCCCTTCTTTCTATTAATATCGTGTGTTGCATTGATTGATTTTCTCATATTGAACCACCCTTGCATCCCTGAGATAAATCCCATTTGGTCATGGTATATAACTTTATTAATATGCTGCTGGATTTGCTTTGCCAGTATTTTGTTGAGGATTTTTGTATCTGTATTCATAAGGGATATTGGTCTACTTTTCTTGTGATATCTGTCTGGTTTCCATATCAGGGTAATGCTGGCCTCATAGAAAGAGTTAGGAAGTGTTCCCTCCTTTTCTGCTTTTTGGAAGAGTTTGAGAAGGATTATTGTTAATTCTTCTTTAAATGTTTAGTAGAATTCCCCAACTGAAGCCATCTGGTTCTGGACTTGTCTTTGTTGGGAGGTTTTTGATTTCTATTTCAATCTTTTGTTGGTGGTCTGTTCAGATTTTCTGTTTTTTCTTGAGTCAGTTTTGGTAATTTTTATGTTTCTGAAACTTGTCCATTTCATCTAGGTTATCTAATTTTTAGTATGGGAATCGTACAGTTTTGTAACTTGAATTTTTTTTTGTCTCAGTAACATACAGTGACAGATTACTCGTTAAGGTGATGACCGTGTATATTTGTGTGGCACCAGGTTGCTTCCAGAGTATGTCACATAGGTGATCTTATTTAATTTTCTTTATGGTCCTGGGAGGAAGATGAGGCAGGGATTATTACAGTTGAAGGAATCGAGTTTTAGAGAAGTCACTCAGTTGGTGAATACTCAGTTATCTAGACTTTTAGATCTGTGCTCCTTTGCCATGCTGTAGACTCAGAAACTAAGAAATTAATATGGGTATTGTACCAATTAATTAATATGTTGTCAGCTAAACCATGGATATTATTTGGATTTTCCAAGTTTTTCCACTGATGCCCTTTTTCTGATCCAGGATCCCACATTGCATTAAGTTGTCACATCTCCTTAGTCTCTTCTGATCTATAACAGTTTCTCAGTATTCCCTTGTTTTTCATGACCTTGACATTTTTGAAGAGTGCTGCTTTGGAATTTTGTGGGGTGTCCTTCAATTTGGATTCCTTTGATGTTTTCTCATCCCCCCTGTTTTTAACTCCAGAAGAAACAAGGCAAAAGTAATTATTTTTCTCAACATATAATGTAGCTTTTCGTGGAAAACCTGCCTTCCTGTTTCTGATTTTCACCTCTGTCTTCCTCAGGAGGACATTGTAGTAATGCGTGAGAAGCACCGGGACCCTGCTGTCTGTGTGGGAAGATCTTGCTCAGGTCCTTTATCACTGTCTGTTTGGGAGGTTCATTCCCCTCAGGAGGCTCCCATCCTTACAAGTTAACAGCATTTTTAGAACTGCATCCTCCAGTTGAAAGACTCGTTGTGGGGAAAATGGGACATAGGGAATAGACTTCGGGGATCTGATGATAATGATGTTTTCTGTTTTTTCTTCTCAAAGTGGTATTTCATTTTATTATTTTATTTTAATCACAAGCACAACACATGTTGAATACAGAACAATCAGAAGATAGGTAAGCTGAAAAAAAACCCCCACCTGTAAGCACCCATAACCCAATATATGGATCCTTTTCCAGATATACATATATGCTTATATTTATATACAGTTTTTTCTTACAGAAGTTAACATTACACATTACAAAACAAACTTCTGTCTTCCTTTAATATATGGTGGACATTTTTCCGTTTTTCTATAAAGATAAATCTCCGCACTGTCATTTCTAATAGTGTTGAGGGTTCCAGCCTCCTACTGTTAAACGGTTTGGTTGTTTCTAACTTTTCCCTTTTATAAACAAGCACCACAACAAACAGCATTGAATTAATTAAATTCTTAATGTTTTTTAGGATAAATGTGTTGTTCTTTTTTATTATAGATATTTTTACTGATTCTCCGGGCCCTGCAGCTCCCTACCCGACTGGTATTGTCTCTACAGCCTATTCCTCTGAAGTTATCAGCAGCAAAGGTGAAGTTCCTGGGGTTTCCAGAGGGGAGGGTAGTTGGTCAGGGAGGAGTGAGAAATTATCAGACTTAAAAACAAATGGGTCATTAGACTATTTTTAAGGGTCGGTAGTCCTGGAGTAGGGTTCCTTTGAGCCTGCTTTGCACATGCTCTGTGTTGGGAAGACTGGACACATGAATGGGCATCTAGCAACCTGAATTCTGTGTGCGCAAAGGGGCCTGCCAGAGGTCTTGGCTCCTTGGTGCTTTAGTTTCTGTTCTGTAAAACAGTAGAATGGTACCTGTCTTCCTCATCAGCAGTGTGGAGTGGTGAAGGGTGAAGGACTCTGAATTCTGTGGTCACCTGAGAAGGAGGCTAATGCTGTACTTATTGGGATGTTGGCATTGTCTGAAGCGTAATGGTACAGAATTGATTTTAGTAATTTTTGTATTCTTAACTTGTTGTTGTTAGTGCTGTTGAGTCGATTCTGACTCCTGGCGACCCTGTGTACAGCAGAACGGAACCCTGCCCCGTCTTTTTGTGCCATCCTCTCGCCTTCTGGCGCTATATCAGACAATGCTCTGCTGCTATTCATCGCGTTTTCGTGGCCCATTTTTTTCGGGAGTGGGTGGCCAGGTCCTTCTAGTCTGTCTTAGTCTTGAAGCTCTGCTGAAACCTCTCCCCCATGGGCGACCCTGCTGGCATTTGAAGTCCTGGTGGCACAGCTTTCAGCATCACAGCCACACGCAGCCAAAACAGTATGACAACTGACAGGCAGGTGGTGTGGCTCCCTGACCGGGAAATGAACCGGGGCAGGCTGTGGTGATGAGAGGCCACCACTAGGTAACCACTAGGCCACCAGAGCCGGCTGACATATTCTTACTACTACAACTTTATTAAGTCTGTCAGTATTTGTTTGCAAAATGTGTTACGTGTGAAGTGGGCATTACAGTCATGTGCTGCATAATGACATTTTGGTCATTGGCAGACCACATACACGACAGTGGTCCCATAAGAGTAGAACCATGTAGCCTAGGTGTGTAGCAGGCTGTACCATCTAGGTTTGTGTAAGCACACTCTATGATGTTCGCACAGTGACGAAATTGCCTAATGACGCATTTCTCAGAATGTATTTCTGTCGTTAAGCGACGCATGGCTGTATTATTGCTGAGGAAGCTGAGACTTAGGTTACATAATTGACCTAAATCACATGACGAGTGAGAGGCGGAACTGGAATTGGACCCAGGTCTGTCTGTTTCCACATGCTGTGCTCTCTTCCCTGAGCTACGCTTTAGAGTGAAAAGTATTATTTTGTGGCCTATCTAAGGGGCTGTAGATTTTAGCACATGCTTTCTTATAACCCTAAAGGATAGCCAGTCCATCACAGTCTGAGCTGGGGACATCTTGTGTACGCTGGTTCTCTAACCAGCGACCTAGCCCCGTTAGATTATAGGGTCTCTATCATATCGTTAGCAAAAAAGAAAAAGCAAAATTTTCTGTTCTGTTTAAGGGAAAGAAACCTTCCAAGGAAAGATCCACAGAGGGTCCTGGAGGCTCCTCAGAAACTTCTAGCCAAGTTCCAGAAAACCAAACCAAACCTAAGACCAGCAGAGGAACCAGACAAGAGGAAGCCTCTTCTAAGGGCACTAGCAATCCAAGTGCCAAAGGGAAGAGGAGCAAGGCAGCAGCAGTTGGAAAGACACGGAGGGAGCCCTCCTCCAGTGGGGAAGAAGAGGGCAAGGCGGGGCAGCGGGAGGAGCAGACCCCGAGACGTCTGCGTGGCCGGGTGCGGCAGGTGGCCTCCAGGGTGTCTTACAAAGAGGAGAGTGGGAGTGACAAGGCTGGCAGTGGCTCTGACTTTGAGCTCTCCAGTGGGGAAGCCCAGCGTTCGTCTGAAGAGGATTCTGAGCCTGGTCTTCCGAGGAAGAGGAGGGCCCTGGCCCCTCAGAGGGCAAAGACAGACTCCAGGAGTAACTCTAGGACCCAACGTGGAAGCCACCCTAAGCACCCTGGCTTTCCAGCAGCATCCTCAGGCTCTTCAAGCAGTAAGAGTAAGAGAGGCACGAAAATTCACAGTGAAGGTGAGGAGGCAGAAGGAGGGAAAACAGCTGGTGTAGACCAGTGGCTGGAAGTGTTCTGTGAGCAGGAGGAAAAGTGGACGTGTGTGGACTGTGTGCACGGTGTGGTGGGCCAGCCGCTGACCTGTTACAGATACGCCACCAAACCCATGACTTACGTCGTGGGCATCGACAGTGATGGCTGGGTCCGGGATGTCACCCAGAGGTACGACCCAGCCTGGATGACGGTGACCCGCAAGTACCGGGTTGATGCCCAGTGGTGGGCCGGAACCTTGAGACCATACCAGAGCCCGTGCGCGGAAAGGGAAAAGAAAGAAGACTTGGAGGTAAGGCGTTGGCCGCCACGGGCTCCAAGACCCAGTCGGGTATTGAAATTATTCTGATTTTTGAGCACCATATATGTGCCCAGCACTTTGTTGGGTATTTTTAATGTGTTATCTCATTTAATTATGACAACACTATAAACTGGGATTATTATTGCCTTAATTTAACCAGTTAAACATTTAGGATCTGAGATTACCTCACTTGGTATTAGAACCCAGGTCTATCTAGCTTTGAAGCCTGCGTAGTTCTAGTTATTGCCTAGTTATAAATCTGGAACTTTAAAGTAGTTTATGCAAGTCATCTAATAAGTTGTCCTAAGGAAAGAAGAAAAACCTCTTCAGTATAACTGTTACCCGCCCTGCTCAGCATGCACACGTAGAAGCTCATACACACCTCTCTCCCCGGATCTAGAACACTCATCTCCTGGAAAGGAAAGGACTCGGGAGGAGGAAATATCTTCAGTCTGCTGAGAAGGCACACTGGGAAACAGACTTCTTAACTAGAACACAGTGTGTCGCTTGGTCCTAGGACCAACCTCTGACCAGGAAGAAGGCCTGAGCTGCTTGTGCCCAGCAGTTGTGGTGTTGGGTGGGGCTTGGCATTTCCACACGGGAACATGCCCAGACTTGCTGAGGAATTATTCCCAGTCCTCAGGATGGGTGAGGCCTGGGTTTGTTTAGTGTTCCTTGTAGCGGTGCAGTTCATCCGGCATTGAGAGTTTGCTCTGGGGGTGTTCCTGGCTCATTTTCCTTAGAAAGGACTAGTGGGAATTGTGCAGGGGGTGTCGTGACTGACATGATTAAAGTATTTGTAGTGGAAGCTGACCCTGCAATGGGTCCCTCCTGCTCCCAGCGACTCCACGTTGCCAGTCTTCACGAGTGTGTTGGGGTTTTCAAGAGATGCTTAGGGAAAGCTTAGGAGAACAGAGTGTGACATATAGCAGTGGACTTGCCCACTGAGAAGTCAGAATCCTTAAAGAAGTGCCCCGAGAAGATGTATGAATCACGGTGGACTGAGGAAAGCTGCCGGGTGTGAACAGCTCATTTGGGTTTCCCCTGAGAGCTGAGACAAGTAGAGCCCTGTTGCAGAATAGTGATGTCACTTGGAGATAAGGCCTCCTTCCTGAAGAAAGCTGTATGTCTGCCTTCCTTGAAGCTCTTTTTATGTATTTATTTATTTATTTTTGGTGAGGAAAATTAGCCCCGAGCTAACATCCGTGCCCATCTTCCTCTGTTTTTTGTATATGGGACACATTTTTTGTATGTGTAGGTCCGCGCCTAGGATCCAAAGCAGTGAACCCCAGGCCACCAAAGTGGAGCACGTGAACTTAACCACTACGCCACCAGGCCAGTCCCCCGTGAAGCTCTTTTATAGAGCAGGCGCTGATCTGCTAGGGCTGACGAAGGTGTCTAAGGGCCAGGAGTAGTTTAGATGACTTTCCAAAGTTACCATGAGCCACAGAATTACTTGATTCTTCAAAGCTTTTGATTTATCTAAAACCTACTTAATGGCCAGTACTATAGATGCAGTGTTACAAGGTCATTGGTGCTCATGAAACCTCTGGTCTGCCGTCGTAATCAGAAAAGTTTGTCTGAGGATTGCCTGCCTCAAACCTTGCTTCCTCTCTACACGACATGCTCAGCATTGTCTCTCTGGTCTTTGCAGTTTCAGGCAAAGCACCTGGACCAGCCTTTGCCCACTGCCATTGGCACGTATAAGAACCACCCTCTGTATGCCCTCAAGAGGCACCTCCTGAAATTCGAGGCCATCTATCCTGAAACAGCTGCCATCCTTGGGTATTGTCGTGGAGAAGCTGTCTACTCCAGGTGTGTGAGGCACCCGATGGCCTTCCTGTGGCCTGGGATTAGCAATCTTTCTGGGCAAGGGGCTGGTAATGTCGGCTCATCCCGTGAAATGAGATGAGCTTTATAGCGTGTGTGTGCTGTTGTGTGTGGATGTGTAGAAGAGATTAAAGCTGGAAATCAACACTACAAGGATTAAAGACCAGCAGGGGAAAAATAAGTTACAGGAGAAAAATAAAAAGTAGGACAGATGAGGTTTATATAGGACAGATAAAAACATACCCCTCAAGAATAATTTAAAAACATACAAAAGAAAGGAATAAAAGATTTGATATAATGCTGCTGAACTGGATATTTAAAAATGGTTAAGGTGGTAAATTTTATGTTATGTATATTTTATCCACAGTAAAAAGAAATTGCTAAAGAAGAGGGAAAGGAATAAGAGTAGAAAATGAATGTAAAATATATACAAAATTAAAACTGAAAAAATTTTAATAATATAAATTTCAGGTGAGGAAAAAATAAAAATAGAAGCAGAACTTTTAAGAAATAGTAATACAAAGAAAATAAATGAAGTGATTTTTAAAAACCTTGAAATGCAAGACCAAGAAATAGAGCATGTTCTTAATAAATGGGAAAAGAAAGAGAACAAAAGGAAACATAGAGAAACCCACGTGAGGAGGTGGTTTGAGTCCTCTTTCTGGGGACTGCCTGTTGTGTGTCAGCCCTGCAGGGAGGCATCCTAGACCCCCGCTCAGGGTCCATGAGCTTCTGTCCACGTCAGGAAGGATCACGCCTGTCGAGGCCTCAGCTACCAACAGTCAAAGGCCGCCAGGGCCCAGGCGACCTTGATAGAAGTGGTGGGCACAGGCTTCCTCACATGGGTGGGAGAGAGGAAGTCTAGGGGAAAGAGTGCCAGTATGGTCCACAGACACCTTGTCAGTCATGGGAGAAAGCATTAGAAGGAGACTTTTTTTTTTAATATAGTAAAATATACATAACAGGATTTACCAGTTTTACCAGTTAACCATATTTGAGTGTACAGCTCAGTGGCATTAAGTACACTCACATTCTGGTGCAACCCCCTCACCACCATCCATCTCCAGAACTCTTTTTCATCTTCCAAACTGAAACTCTGTCCCTATTAAACACCAGCTCCCCATTCCCCCTCCCCCAGCCCCAGTAGAACCACCATTCTACTTTCTGTCTCTAGGAATCTGACTGCTCAAGGGACCTCATATAAGTGGAGTCAGACAGTATTTGTCCTTTTGTGACTGGCATCCATCAGTAGACCCCCTGGGTTGCTTCCTGTCTTGGCTCTTGTGACTAATGCTGCTGTGAACATGTGTGAACAAATATCTCTTTGAGACCCTGCTTTCACTTCTTTTGGGATTGCTGGATCATATGGTAGTTCTATGTTTAACTTTTTGAAGAACCAACATGCTATTTTCCACAATGGCTGTATCATTTTACATTCTCATCAGCAGAGAGAACACAAGGGTTCCAATTTTGCCACATCCTTGCCAACACTTTTATTTTCTGTTTTTTGATAATAGCCATCATCATGGATGTGAAGTGATTAGAAGTGGAGATTTAGAGAGGGCTATGTCCACTTCTCTGCTGCTCTTCTTGGGATTATGAAGATGATGCCCACCTCTGTCCCCCAGCCCCCCACCTTCCCTGCTCCTGTCCGAAGACCATAACCATGACATCGTTACTTCTTTGGGCAGAGTGCAGCCCTCAGTGGGAGTGTGGGTGGAGCTCTCAGCTCGGACGGAGTGATGCTGTGCGCAGGGAGCGCTGCTCCAGCGTCTGGAAAGCGTCCGGTCTTTCCAGCAACCTTACAAGGCAGACAGGACAGCTCGTTATCCCTGATTGATAGAGGAGGATACTGAGCCTCAGGAAGGGGAAAGGGACTTGTTCAGGGTCACCCTGCTAGGAAGTGGCACAGCGGAGGCTCGACCCGTGTCCGTTGTACTGTGAGTGGACGTCAGCCTCAGCGGGGGTAGGCGGAAGGCCTGATTCCTGCGCTAGAGGCAACTTAGTGCCCTTGCCCTTTGGAGCCCAGTCTCTGAGCAGAGTTCAGGGCTGCCCACTAAAGAGATTGCTCTTAGCTCTGGAAGGAGAGTGACGCAGAGGATCTCTCCTGATAGTCACAGGCTGCCAGGGATGATTTGACTGTCCGTGTGCATGAATCTTAATTCCATGGTGATTTGTTAGCTTATTATGGTTTCTGTGTGGTCTCCTTTTGGATTCACTGCCCCATCTCTGGGTGCCCATCCCTCCCCATCTCTGGTGTTTAGCAGCAAACCAGACACTCGCTCGGGGGTGAGGAAATATGTCTGCACCGCTTGGCTTTTACCCCGCCCCCTGGGGCTGCAGAGGGACTCTCACTCTGGGAGGAGAGGTGAAGGTGGGCATGAAGCCACAGACAGACAAAATAACTGCATTCAGGTTAGGATATGTAAGTGGGCACAGCCCCCAGAAGACAGGAAGTCGAAGTTAGCTGTCTGCCTAATGCAGGCCCCCTGCTTCCCTCCAGAGCAGGGCCTGCTCCCGGGCGTGAGGCAGAGCCTGAGAGAGAATCAGGGGCTGTGCCCTTCCCTCTGGGAGGTGACATGAGGCAGCTGGTCCAGCAGTTCCTCTGCCTGCAGTGTGCAGTGCTGTTCCATCAGGCAGGGTGTGACCTGAGTTTGTCCTCTGTCTCCCCCATGTTGGCTCTGTAGGGACTGCGTGCACACCCTGCACTCCAGGGACACGTGGCTGAAACAAGCAAGAGTGGTGAGGCTTGGAGAAGTACCCTACAAGGTAACCAGAGCGAGGGTGGCCTGCAGGCGGCAGGGAGGCTGAGGGCAGAGCAGTGGGATGAGGGCTCCCGGGTGGGTGCCTGGGATGGGAATCCAGGTCTGACTTGTCTGGCTTGAGGAGGATTGGAGGAGGAGAAAAGCAGGTAAATTATGTCTTACTTTAGTGAGGAATTTGTCAGAGGTGGTCTTCCAGAGCAACAAGAAATCTAGGCGAGAAGGCAGCGCTCAGACTCCGGGTATATGCTCGTCTGTGCTCCAAGGCGCTGTGATCGGAACTGTGTCACAGTCGACTGTTCTAAGAGGCCAGAGCCTTGCCGATGTGGACGCCTCCACCCGTCATCATTGCCCTTCTGGCTGAGCACTCCCCACTCCTTCTGCCTGTATATGATCTCTGGGGAGACTTAACAACTGCAGGAGTTAGCATGATGATGCCCATCTTACAGAGGAGAAAACGAGCTCAGAAAGGGGAAATGACTTGTCAAGGCCTTCCAGTTAGTAAAATGGCAGCACCCACAAGAATCCCAGTGGTCTCTCTCACACTGTGCTGCTGCACTTGTGGGGCAGCTGCCCATGAGAAACGTGAACTTGCTACAGTACCACAAAGGGCTTTCCACAGGACACGTAGCCCAGTTCAGCCAGGGGAGGACAGTGGCGAGTCACAGAGACACATGTGCTTTTCTCTGTCAGATCCCCAGGAGGAGCTGTTTGGGTGGTGAGACTCTGGGGAGCCGGGCAGGGAGTGGAGGGGCCTCAGTGTGGAGGGAAGGGGCTGCAGGCGTTGGGAGCAGGTCACTGCCACCCAGGCTTGAGTGTGTTACGCTGCCTGCTGGGACTTGGAGGACCGCTGGGGTTTCCCGTAGACCCTTCACCTTTCTTTTATGCTTCTTATCAAATAAACAGTCTCCTCATTCTGGAATAGCACCGTCCAATAGAAATATAATGTGAGCCACAAATTAGAATTTTTTAGTAGCCACGTTAAAAACTTTAAAAGAAACAGGTGGAATTTTAATATATTTATATTCAAATATATCTGAAATATTGTCATTTTAACATGTAATATTTGAAATGTTATTGAGATATTTTACATTCTTTTTTTTTTTATTAAGGCTTTGAAATGTGGTGTGTGTTCCTCTTTCAGGACCAGTCACATTTCAAATGTTCAGGGCCACATACGGGTGGCTATCATATTAGCACAGTTCTAGAGTAATCCCAAATCTCGAGTCCTTTCGTGCCCCTGATTTCTGCTATCCCGGCTCCAGCTCCTGCCTCATCACCTCTTGCTTGGATCACAAGCACCTGCCCGGCCTCTGGCCCCAGCCCCGTACTTCATTCCCCACATCGCGATCATGGGATCTTTCTGAAACACAGAGCCATGTGTGGCACTCTGTACATAGTCTGCCCTCACCCACCTAGAGTCCCACGTCCTTCACGTGGCACAGAGACTGTGGTGCTCTGGTGCCTGCCTCCTCTCCAGCCACGCTTCCTCCTGCGTGCCAGATGACTTCCACAGTCCCCGGATACTTGTGTTCTCACACTTCCGTGTCCCTTTGGTCCCAAACACTCTTCTCCCCAGTCCTGTTCACCTGATTAGACCCTCTGTGCCCTTTCTGACCCGGCTCTGACGTGGCCTGTTCTGAGCAGCCTGTCTTAACCTGTCCCTCCTCAGGGCTGGGTAAGGGTCCCCACCTCTGGGCCCCATTCTGCCCATTCCCCTGTCCTCTTCACACTGAGTTGTCTTCTCTGTCTCCCCACAGGAGCCCACGCTCCGTAAGAACAAAGACTTGCCCTTCTCTGCCCCTAAGGACTGGTGTCATGGCGTGGCCTGTAATAGATGCTCAATGGATGTTGACTGAACAACACGGGGTGAATAGCTTCCTCAGAAAGGCAGTGTCAGCCCACAGGGGTGACGGAGATGGCGTGTGCAGAGGCCATGCCAGAATGGCCACTAGAGCAGCGGTTGGCAGGCACAGCTTGCAGGTCACACCCGTCCTGGGTGCTGTTCTGGTGGGGCCCTTGATCTCAGAATGGTTTTTACGTTTTTTAAGGGTTGTAAAAAGAGGGAAATAAAGGTTATGCGACAGAGGCTATATGTGACCCTTTCCAGAAGAAGTTTGCCAACGCTGCACTAGAGGCAGCTGTCCGCACGGCCCAGAGCCAGCCCTTCCCCCACAGAGCAGCCTGCGCTGCTCTTCCTAGTGGAAGTTACGCAGCCTTTTCCTCGCCGGTCCCCTACTCCTTTCATCCCTTCGCTCACCAGGGAAAGTTTCAGTGTTGGCGACTACACACCTGTAGGGGAGCACGCTGGGGGTCTCAGACTCTCCGTGCCTTCCGGGGCGCATGGCACAGGCAGGTATCTGGGTGTCAGTCCTGCCCCTGTCACTCACCCAGTCTTAAGTAAGTGACTTCGTCTGAGTGCCCGTTTCCCTCGCAGTGATGCGAGTGTGGGAGATGGCGTAGCCGGTACCAGCACAGGCTCTGGCCTTACACGCTGTGACTCGGTGAACCGTTGGCACCTCCCAGGTTGCTCATGTGTAAGATGGAAATGATATCAGAACCTAACCCGCTGGGTTTGTTGAGAAGATGAGAGAAGCCAGAAAGCCCTGAGCACAGAGCCTGGGACAGCGAGCACTCTAGGCGTCAGCTGGTAGCAGCAGGAATACTAGTGGGCTGGAGGTAGTGAGAGGGGAGAAAGAGCACACCCCTCTCAGGTTTGTGGACCCGTCTCAGGTTTGTGGTGGGTTAAGTGAGGGGACAGCTGTGCAGCACCGAGCACTGTGCTGGTGTACAGTAAGCACCCAGGAAGCGGCAGCCCCTGTGGTAAACTGGCGGTTCCCTCTGCTGTAGATGGTGAAAGGCTTTTCCAACCGGGCCCGGAAAGCCCGCCTCGCTGAGCCCCAGCTGCACGACCAAAATGACCTGGGCCTGTTTGGCCAGTGGCAGACAGAGGAGTACCAGCCGCCTGTGGCCGTGGACGGGAAGGTGAGGGCAGCGCTCAGCAGGGCAGGGCCAGGCCGCTCTGGTCTGCAGCTGGCCAGACCCAGTGTGCCACCCTCCGCAGGTCCCCCGGAATGAATTTGGGAACGTGTACCTCTTCCTGCCCAGCATGATGCCAGTTGGGTGTGTCCAACTGCACCTGCCCAACCTGCACCGTGTGGCCCGCAAGCTGGACATCGACTGCGTCCAGGCCGTCACTGGCTTCGATTTCCATGGAGGCTACTGCCATCCCGTGTGCGTGAGGGGCCTTCCGTGGAGGCTGGAAGGAGGGGTGGGGAGGTTATGGGAAGTTGATGTGGGGCTGGTGGAGGCTGAGGCCCAGTGGCTCTTAGCGTCAGGGTTTTACTCTGGATTTGTAAAATCCACCTTGACACTACCTTTTACTTTTACACTTTTTTACGTTTACACTTTTACTCTGGCTTCCATCCAGAGGCAGCAAAACCGATGAAACCAGCATCCTAATAATGCTGGATTAAAACGCTGTTCTTGCGGGGGGGGTCACAGGTGACCTAGCAGGGTCCGCATCCTTCTGTTCTGCTGTGCAGTGGGGGCAGGGAGGGGCTCTCCTCCCAGCTCTCTTAGGCAGGACCTGGGGAAGAAGATGTAGGGCCGGTGTCCACAGGCCTTCCCTCTGCACGGGTGGTATCTGTTAGCAGCTGTAGCCGGGACTGCGGACCTGCTGACCCAGGCATCCTTCAGGGTCCCACGTGCGTAGGAGCGGCCCACTGTCCTCCACAAAGGGGAGGAGGAGAGGCCGGAGGAGGCAGCAGGCTCAAGGAAGACCAACCATGTTGCATCCCCACAGAACTGACGGGTACATAGTCTGCGAGGAATACAAAGACGTGCTCTTGGCCGCCTGGGAAAAAGAGCAGGCGGTCATCGAAAAGAAGGAGAAGGAGGTGAGCAGCTGGGCCAGGGCGGGCCTGGTGGGGGCCTGAGCTGGGAGCGCAGAGTGGTGGGAGCACAAGCACACGGGACCTCACTGGCACTGTGTGAAAAAGGAGAGAGTCTGCACAAGCTCTTCCCGGCTCCCTGGCCTCCTGGGAGGCACCCTGGGGAGCCAGCACTGGACAGAATGGGGTCCTGCCTACACCAGAATCCACCCTGACTGTCCCCTCTCTGCCTGGCTCAGCTCCAGGGACCGCTGCCCCTACTGTGACACCTGCCTCTGTTAAAAGGAACTGTCCGTGGTCCAGGTTCTGGCTGACCTCCTCCCCTAAAAATTCTACAGTTGGAAACAAAAAGAGGTTTTTGGTTTTGGTGCCTTTCGTGTGTATCACTTTATAAATCATACCAATTTTAAACTGGGACTTGGTGGGATTTAGAAACTATTTTTTAACTAAAATGTTATGTGTCTTTACATGTGTATGTTCACAGGTTCCATCTTGAGATTTTTCCTGAAAATGACAGTACTTAACATTTCCTGTTCTTCCATTTCATTTTGCCATTAGAAAAAGGAGAAGCGGGCTTTGGGAAACTGGAAGCTGCTGGTGAGAGGACTGCTCATCAGGGAGAGGCTGAGGCTTCGCTACGGGGCCAAGGTCAGTGCAGTTCCTTCGGAAAGAAACAAGCCCAAAAAGAAAAGTTAAAAAAATAAGCCCAGGTTGGAGAGGGCGCCCAAATCACTGGCCCAGGTCTGCCCAGACGTGCAGTCACAGACAGCTGTTTTGACGCCACAGTCCGTGTCTCCCAGGCCCCGTGTCTTTACCTTGTTGTTCCCAGAGTCCACCTCAGATGCCCGCTCTGCCCCAGCATCCCCTTTCTGCTCCTGTCTGCACGAGTGAGTGCCTGCTGTGGGTGCGGTCGGTGTTAAACCCACAGGAGGAGGGACGAGTTCCTGAATGTCTGTGTTTGATGCACCACTCTTAGCTCGCGCTGCTCCCGGTGCCTGTGACCATCCTTCATGCCCGGGGTTGCTCCTGAGTACACCTCCTGCAGCACCTGCCACGTGCCAGGCCAGCCTGTGGACACAGGCTTGAATTTGACACGCAGTCCCAAGGGGCTCCCACCTGTGGGCCTTCAGGGCCCTGGACACAGGCCTGTGGTGTGATCAGCACTGGGTCAGAGACAGCAGAAACGTGCTCTGGGAGCAGCCATAACCACGCCTCTCGGTTTTCTTCCCCTCTCCATCCCTACGTGTGCCTGTTTGCCCTTGGAAAATATTTTTGTCCTGCTCTTCCCTCAAGTCCCTGTGGTAAGCCCTTCACCTGGCTTTATGTTCTCACCAGCTCCTTCCTGCTGCTGATGTGCTTCCCCCTCTGCACCCAAACCCTCCGGCCCAGCTCCCCAGCCTTCAGGAAGGGCCTCCGCGGAGCACTTGGCACTGAGGAGTACTGTGCATTTGGGCAGGCAAATACAACGCACTTTGGTTCAGGAATGAGGCCGTAAATGCAGGCACCGGTCAGTCACCTCCTAGATTTGATTGTGCGCTCCGTGAGGGCAGTTTCTTGCCGAGACATCTTTGTGTTCCTCAGCACTGAGCACATAGCAAGTTCTCCAGTGCCTGCTTGGGCGAGTACCCAGGCTGAGGAAGGCACGGGAAGAGTGCTCTTGGCTCTCCCCCAGCCCCACACAGTGCCCTTGTCCTCCTAGAGGCACACAGCTCAGGGCAGGCCATTGCTGGGAGCTTTGCTTCTCTTGACAGTGCTTCCTGGTGTCTGATCACTGACCCGCGGTCTGTTTCCCCTCCACTGTCCCACCTCTCCAGTGTGAGGCAGCAGCTCCCCATGCAGGTGCAGGAGGTGGGCTCTCTTCTGACGAAGAGGAGGGGACCAGCTCTCAAGCAGAAGCAGCCAGGATCCTGGCTGCCTCCTGGCCCCAAAACCGAGAGGTTGAAGAAGAGCAGAAGCCGAGGTGCCCTAAGAAGACCAAAAGGGGAAAGAAGGAGGCGGCTTCCCACCTGTTCCCATTTGAGAGGCTGTGATGTGAGTGGCCACCTCGTCATAAGCTGTGCTGTGCAGGCCCCCCACCTCCCCCGGGGGATGCCTACGCCTTGGGGGCGGTGACTTCTCTGAGAAGGCACAGAAGCAGCGTGTGCTGCAGACGGGGGCCGGGGCTGGAGGTCTTGTCACGTTCACCCAGGGAGGGCTTTCAAAGCTGCTTGCTACCACACACTATGCTTTGAGCTAGGGAACACTTCCCCGGAGACCTCTGCCACTAAGACCTTGTTCTTCTCATCTCTGGAGACACGAGTCAGTTCTTTTATAGAAACCGCTGGGAATTTGGGGATGATGGTGCATTTAGGAATGAGTCAGTCTTCTTCCGAGTGGACTCTTCTCTGTCAGACACTCGCGCTCTTGCCGACCTAGGATCCTTTCTTTGCAGGCCACTCGTTTTCCCTCAGTCAGGCTTACTGATACTGCCCAGGGCTGCCTCCTCTACTATGGGGGAAGAGCAGAGGAGAAGCACCAGTCCTCTCAGATGTGGGTTGTTGGGATCTGCTTTTCCAAGTAACATTTTATGGTAGCAGAAGACTAGAACAAAGCTAAAATCAGCAAAGAAAAGGAAAACCACTAACTGAGAATTAAAGAAATGTTAGTGAAAGTCGATCAGTGTTAAACTAGATTTTATTCATTACTGGATAAATTTATAAAGCTCCATGCACTGTAGAGATTCAAGAGAAATAATTTTTATAACATTTTGAGAAAAAATAAAGCATTTATCTAAAAAGACTTGGCTTGACATTTTCTTTCAGATTTTACATCAGCTAAGAAAACCCAGATGACAATTTGTATGCATGTTGAGACTACATTAATGATCAGATTTTGTTTTCCTGTAGGCTGGCAACTCACCATCACACATGTGGAATTTTTTCTCTTTCTGTGTTGAAGCGAGATGTTACTTTAATCATTGACAGAAGCCATTGAAAATTTGTCAGTTTTATCCAAGGGAAACAAACAAAAACTTGCAGTGTGACTCACATGCAGCAAGAACCTGGCTGCAAGGCTCTTCTTGTTGAGATACAACTGGGGTTGCCATGGAAACCGTCTCACACTCTGCACCAGAGCTCAAGCTCTCCTAGAGGTAGTAAGTGACTTGTTTTCTGGGAGTTGAGTCAAGACATCGCCCTGTCTCTGCAGAAATAACTTGTTATTCAGGCGGATGTCAGCTCCTAGTTGGAATTACGGAAATGAAATGAAACATTAGGTTTTGAGAAATATAAGAGTAGGTTTGGGGAAGTTACCATTCACCTGCTTCAAATCTTGTAACAGAGTACTCAAATTGCTAGGTTCAGAGTGGAAATTAGCAGCAGTCCATTGCTTCAGAAGAGGAGGCGAAAGAGACTGAAAAGTTCATGTGTTAGGCATTTCCTGGGCTTTATTTCAGTCGTCATAACAACCCTGTGACGTGGAAAGGCATTGTCCCCATTTTACAGATGAAGAAACTGAGGCTCAGAGATTACTGATAAGCCTGTCAGCCAGCCAATCAGCAGCAGACTTGGGAATTAGAACTCAGGTCTGTGCCAGCCCACAGCCCATGATGCCTTTTGCACAGTATCCTGCTGTGGTTCCATCCCACCTCTTCTAGCATATTCTGAAGATGGGTGAAGTATGAGTCATTCACTTTAAATCACTCCAAAACAAAGCAGGCTTTGGTATATAAGGCCTCTAAATGCTAGCAATATTGTTGCCTTTTGTAAAAAAAACTGAAACCTATTTTAACCACTAAAAGCAACTTAGAACTGAGTTCTAAAACTCCATATGGTTCTTAATAAAGTCTATGGCTGAAATCTTTAAGATAGATATTTCAGAAAGAATGCAAAAAAAGAAGGGATAACGGCAAGGTCCTATACCAAAAGATATTTAAAAATTTATTTTGAATTTTTATCAAAAATACAAAGATAATACAAATTTCATGATGATTTTCCAACGGCTTCAAATATCTCAACGTTATTTTGCTCATTAAGAACACTTTTGAAATTGGCAGTAATTTAAAATCCACTAGAAAAAATTACACAAACCAAATCCCAAGGATTTTGTATTTTGTCATCACCTAGTTACACTGTGTTTTCCAAAAGCATCCTTTAAGAGTTGAGAGATTCGATGCAACTGCTCATTTAATAAGCAGTAGTGAATACTGTTTCAATCCTTAAACCCAGATGAATTGTCTCTGGGGCTGGCTGTTTTTAAGGCGAAGAATCTCAGTTCATAGCACAGATAATCCAGGACAGGAAGAAAGATAATCAGATCACTAGCTTCAGAAGTCCTGACCCTTATGTGACTACCAAATGCTTCCTTGTAAAACAAGCACTCCCAGCGAGGAAGGCCAGTTTCCAAATAGTAAAAAGACAGAGGGTAGACAAAGGTTACAACATAGGTTATCTTTCAAACAGTGTGAAACTTAGAAAGTGAATTAAGGGTGGGTTTGCTTTATTTAGGAGTAAAGCTGGGGACACAACAGATAGGTGAATCCCTCAGAAGCAGCCACGTGAGGCCCAGACGCTAGTGTAGGAGCACTGCCACGATGAAAGGAACGAGACCAAATGGTGTTCCACTAGAGCAGACCCCAGGCCTCTGAGTGCTGATTTGGTGGAGCAGGGGTCACCGTGAGGGGCTCACCTAAAATAATAAAGCTTCCAACCTCTCCCTTCGATGGCTGACTAAAAACTCAAAGTCGTTCAAGTAAATCGGTAGTTTCTGAGGCCAGAGGATGGGAAATGCCTTTCTCTACCCTGTGGAGAGTCCCATCTCTGAGGGGGAAAACACTTCTTTCAAAGCATCTGAAAGCTTCCCAGTGACCCAGAATACTAACAGAGGTAATAGTTTTTCTTACCATTTAACAGCTTTCTGTGCTCTGAATTAATTTCAACTGACAGATTAAAGGGTGTTTTTCTCTAGCAGTCTGAAATGTGACTCATTCGTGAGGTTTTTTTGTTTTGTTTTTTAAATCGTTTCAAACAACTCCCTCTTAGGGTAGAAGAGTGAAGTTACACAAAAACTCAGGGCCTCTGGAGAGGCCACAAACTTAGAAGATTCTGTCAAACCATAAAACAGGTGTAAAGCCTGACAACAGTCCCGTTCTCCTCATGACATCTCCTGTGGGGTTTCTCTTAAGTAACACGTCAAGTTCTATCTTTGTCTTGTCACTCTGGTCCTGCTTCGAGATAATGGTGGGCGGCCCTTTAGGGTGCGGCGGGGCTGTGGCAGAGCCCTGGCACTTGTCTCCAGGGATGAGAGGCAGTGAGTGATAAGGCGGCAGGTCTCTGAGTGTCACTGCCTCATCTGCAGACATCAGCTAAGTGACACGTGCAAACTGGTGACACTCAGTCTCAAGAGAAGGAAAGGAAACGAGAGAATGCTTGTCACGCTGCCAGACAGGAGCTGCCTTCTGCCCACCAAAGCTGCCCACTGGCAAGAGAAGGGGTGGGGAAGACGTAAATTGAGGAACACCAAACCCGACACCTGTGCACGCTGCCAAGTCCGGCCCCTTGAAGAGCAGGGCGGGTACAGAATCCAAAACTCATGCTGGCGTGGAGTGGGGTCAGGGGTGGGGTGTGACCTGGATCCTAAGGCTCACGTGGGTGTCAGGTGGATGCCAGGGCCTGTTTCACTCCAGCTTTTTGGCTGGCACCCGTGTCCGAGCAACGATGACGGGCACCAGAGCCAGGCAGCCGATGAAGAGGGCCCACAGGGGCCTGTAGAAGAGCCAGCCTGCAGCCACGGTCAGCAGGGTCAGCGAGGTGGCCATGCAGAAGGCGAAGGCCTTCAGGCCAATGTTGACCAGGTCTCGGAAGACGGGGAACCAGTCCACTGTGGGGAAGAGAAAGGCAGTGAGGCTTCCGAGGCCACCATGGTCTATGTCTCAGGAGGTCGGCAGATGGTTCCTGTCTCTAGACAATCAAGGGCCCTTGCCTCCAGGTGAGCGAGGAGAGGAGTGGGTCAGTGGTAGAAGGCAAATAACCACCTAATGAGGACTAGAAATCCACTAGAGAAGGAGCGCCCCACCCCCGAGCTGCGTGGCTGGGCACATTTTCTGAGCCACTGCTCCAGGGGAGAAGGCATGCAAAAGTGCTTTGTAAGCTTTCTATCTGATGTCAGTCTGAGGCCAATATAAAGACAGTGGCCTGTAACACTGCCAAATACCCTGTTAGCTTGCACACTCACAAAGACTGTGGGTGGAAGCTTCTGTGGTGGCCATTTGGGCCCCTCAGCCATTCCTGGAGGTGTCTGTTCATTCATGCAGCAAGTCATTACCAATTACCTATGTGCTTGGCTCTGTGCAGGGGCTGAGGGAAATAAATTAGCCTAAGCTGGCCCTTGCCTCAAGGAATCTCACAGGCTGTTGCCCCAATATGATAAAGTCTAGGATCCAGCTAAATCCATAAAGCATTACCCTGTCCTTGGCCTGGCTAGCCTCTCCAGGTTGGCATTCTGTAGCTGATGTCCTCTGAGGGGTCTTTACTCAGTTCCCAGGAGGCCCCAGTCGCCTGGTACCATCGGGTTTGCAGAGCAAGCCCTGGTGCCCTGCCATGACTATAGGACCCTGCAGGTCAGCACATGGCTCATCTTGGTCTCTTCCCATGTAGCATCCCTACTTGGCCCTCATAACAAGCAGAGTTCATGTTGAGTGTTGACCTTGTGTCAGGGACCATATGCACCATCTCATCAAACCCTCCTGCCCACCCTGCAAGGTGGATACTATTCTTAACCTCACTTTACCCACAAGGTCACTGAGACCCAGGGAGTTCAACTCACCCAAAGTCCTACAGCTAGAAAGTGCCAGGGCCAGGATGGAAACTCAAGGCTGTCTGAGCCCAGAGCCTAAGCTCTTAGCCATTGCTCTAAGCCTTGAGAAGACAGGGACCTTGTCTGTCCTGCTCCCTGCATGGTCTCCAGGGCTTAGAGCTGTGTCTGGCACACAGCAGGCACTCAGTAAGTACTTAATGAATGGAGGAATGAATGGATGCTGCACTGTAGCTTCCTCAATCTCCCCACCTGCACTTTGGATCCCGGCATGCTCTGCCATCTGTCCTGCCCCTGGAGTGTCAGCATGCCAGATGTGGAGAGAATCAGAGGATCACAGACCGTCAGAGATTCAAAGAAGGACCCTCTGAGACAGACTCCAAACTCCTCATCTTGATGATAGGGGAACTGAGGCTCTGAGAGGGAAAAAGGCCTGTCCAAGGTCACACAGCCACGATGGGCTTAGAGCAAAAGAAAGACAGGATTCTGTTCAAATTCTATTCTCTCCCGAATGGTGCCCAAGATGCGGCTGGCCTTTCTGAGCACAATTCAGCCATCCAAGGAAAGCCTGAGAGGAAGTGTCCTTTCTCTCCGTGGGCCTCAGATTCCCATCTGCAGAATGAGGGCAGTGGCCCTCCCAGCTCTGCCAGGCTGGGACGGACTGCTGCCAGACCTCTCCTCAGCTGCGAAGGGTAAGTGGGAGAGAGGTTGTGTGGGGGCCCAGAGAAGGCAGGACAGAATTGTCTGACTGGATAGGGACACACTAGGGTAAAGGCCTGGATGGAAAGTCCCCTGAGGAGCCCCATCCTCCCGGAGCTACAGTCTAGGCCCAGCACTTAGTCACCCTGGCGCTCAGTCTTGGGCCAGGCTGGGTCACTCAGGCAACTACTGGGCTCACTGGTGCCAACCCCAGGCCAAGTGAGAAGGCCAGCAAACTCTCCCTCGTGCTCCAGACTTGCTGGCTGCCCCAAACCTAGCCCAGGTTTTGGGGTGGAAAGGGAAGCCATAACAGTTTTTGAGTGTTTCTTATTTGCCAAACATTTCCTGAAATTCTGCAGGTTAAGTGTGAGGTACCTGCAGCTGAGACAGAGGAACAGCCCAAGTATCCAGAGCTCTGATTTCACAGATCTCAGGTCTGGCTCACACAGACTGGCCAGCCTGCTCACCACGGCTGTTCGTTGTGGAAGGAAGGGATGGAGGAATGAGCAAGTGAGTGAGCAAGTGAGGGCCAGACGGGCCAGACCCTCGGATCACGGAAGCTAAACCAGCCTCCCGGGAGTCGGCACCCACCCTCCCTGCAGCCCGGAAGCACCTTGTCCCTCACGCCTGCCTTCCTCTGCCCAAGGAGCAGGCCATCAGGCCAGAAAAGCTGACAGATGATGGTGTCAGCGGCACAGTGGAGGCACATGGGGCTGTAAGGGCGGGCCAGATCCCCCAGCCCTGTCTCTCCACACCTACCCAGGGTATAGAGGATCCGTGTCATGAGGGTGAGGCCCATAAACATGGCCATCCAGCCGGCGGCCCGCAGGCCCCATGTCTTCATGGAGTTGCTCTTCTGCTCTCTACGAAACACCTCCTGCAGGACAAGGTAGGCAGGAGGGAGGGGTCACATCTCATGTCTCTGAGGGAGGCACGCCAACCCAGGCGCTGTTGGCCACTTATGAACAGACCAGCGGGAGAGAAGGGCACATCTCCCACCCTGGTGTCAGGGCCTCTCCCACCTGGGACGGCGCGGAGCAAGGCAGACACCTTTGTGGGAGGTATGGGCCCTCTTCAGATCACTGCCCACCTCCTTCGAGAGTCCTTAGCCCACTGTCTCATCTGGAAAGAGCTTCACCCTCCTCCATACTGCAGCAGCACCTCATGGGTCACTGGTCACCACCCACTACAGTGGCGACGTCTGAGTGTGTGTGCCAGCCCCATGGGACAAGCTTTGTGTATGGTGTCCGACTCCACCTGGGACACGTTTCTCAGTGACGGGGCCACCTCGCTCTCCTGTTTCCCTCCTACTTCTCAGGCTGCTCCTTCCCTCTTGCTGTCCTTCAAACGCTGAAATCCTTCAGCTGCTTCAGTCTCCACTCCCTCCCCAGGAACCCACCTCCACGCCCGGGCCCCTCATTTAGAGCCGCAGCTCTGGCACCTTTCTGGGCCTCCCCCCGTGGTTCCCACCACCTAGGAGACATCTCCACTTGATGTCTGGGCACGTCCAACAATGACACTGGAGCCTCCACCCCAACCCGCTCCTCTCCATCGTCTCCATCAGCAAATGGGACAACCACCCACCCACCTGCACAAGCCGGAATCTGGGTGTCAAACTTGCCTTGCTCCTCCCTTCACCACCCCCCATCCAGGCCATCAGCAAGTCCTGTCAACACTGTGTCCACACTTCCCCAAATCTTCTCTCACCAGCGTCATCCCTCACATGTGCTGTCACCGTCTCTCGCCTGGGCCACTGCAGTAGCCTCCTCCCCACTGGCTCCCTGCTTCTGGCCCCTTCACCACCTTCTCCTGAGCCCCAGCCCCACTGGCTGCCTGTCCAGAGACCAGGTCCAGTGTCCTCCTGCCTCGCGGCCTCTGCACACACCCAATCCTGCCTCGTGGGCTCCTACACACTCTTCCAGTATCAGCTTAAGTGCCCTTTCTTCAGAGAGCCCTCCCTGACCCCCGACTTCAATCGGGCTCCCTTGGCATTATCTACAATAAAGGTAATGATAGCTAAAACTTATCGCTCACTATTTACCAGTCACTGTCCTAAGTGCTTTATAAGTCTTATCTTATTTAATCCAAAATAACTTGCTGAGGTAGGCACACTTATCTCCATTTTACAGAAGAGGAAACTGAGGCTCTGAGATAAGTAACCCGCTCAGGGTCTCACCCTAAGCAGTTAACTAATAAGCTATAGGCTTGAGGGCAGGCACCATGTCTGTTTTGTCCCTCACTATGTCCCTGGTGCTCAATAAAAACATGCTGAATGAAGGAATGAAGTATCTTCACAACAATGAAAGAAGGTAGAGGTAATAATAACAATTCAAAAAATTTCCATTTTCCAGATGAGGCAACAGGTTCAGAGAGGATAAACAGCTGGCTCAGGTCCCACAGCCAGCGGAAGGCAGCATCCCTGCTTGTCCTCACTGCACTCTCTGGCCCCAGAACTGGACATGGGCATCCCGACTTGCAGGCTCTGGGTTTCTGCTCAGGGCCCTGGGCTGCCTCCTCAGCTCAGGGCCTACTCTCCCTGCCTGGCAGAGACCCCACACTGCACCCGCCCGTCTGCACCGTCAGAGCCTTCCCTCCTGGGAGTTATCCAAGCCAGGAGCCCCACCACTCCTCTCTGGGGGGGCGGCTCTGAGACCTGGGCCTCCACCTGCAGGAGGCTGGAAGCCTAGGGCAGGGCTGGGGCTCTGGGAGAGAGAGCAAGGCCTGGACAGGGCCTCCTAATGTTAAAAACTCCTTAGGGGCCCTGGGAGCTGCAGGTGGAGAGGGTGACTCGGCCTGCCAGGCTAGAGGTGGCAGCCCCGCCCTGAGGTTGGTAACTGGGCTCCTGGGCCGCAGCTCGACCACACCCTAGTCCTGGCCAGAGGAGGAGGCACAGCCCCTGTACCACCCTGGGGCTGGAGGCTGAAGTGAGAAGGATGACAGCTGAGGGACCGAGGACAGGGTCCAAAGGGGCACAGCTAAGCCCTGCCGCCTGCCCTGCCCGCTGCCTTTCTCTTTCGAGCCGATTCTGGATGAAAACCCCGCAGTCCTATTCAAGGCAAGCATGGAACGTCCCGCCAGTGCTATGCTGTGTACATCAAGCAAGTCAAACTGTATTTTTCTGTTACAGAGTACGATTTCCTGCCCAGAGAAGAAAGGCTCACTTTTAAGGCATGCAATTGAACTGACCAGCACATCTGTGCACCGCTTCTCCTCGGGACTGAGGTGAGCATGACCCTCCCCGTTTTATAGGTGGGGACCCGGCTGCCCACTAGCTCTGGGACTGCTGTCCGTGAGGCGCTCGCCCTCCCTCACCCAGTCCTGGGACTCTGCAGCTCAAACCTCTCACCGTCCCCCTGATACTCTTAAAGCAGCAGCCCACTCCACACAGGGGCCTCTGCCCACTCCTCAGCCTCACCTCCCCTATGCCCTCCCCTCTGGGCAGTGGCCACACGGGCACCCCTGGTGCCCCTGGCGAGGTGAACCCTGTCCCGCCTGAACGACTGGCTGACCCCGACTCCCAGCTCTGGCCGCTTCTTTTCACTTGGGACTCAGCAAAAATGTCACTTAGTGAGGCCTTCCCTGACCACTGCTGAAGCAGATTTCTGTCATCAGGTCTGTTTGTCTCGGAGCGTCTGCCTCCCCTTCACCCCGCTCAGCACCAGCTGTCCTCACTCTCTCTGCACGACGGCAAGCCTGTGAGGGATGGGTCTGTGTTGCTCACTGGTCTGTCCTTAGTGCCTGGCCCAGTCTGCACACACAGGGAGATTCTTATTCCTTCTGTTTCCTTCTCTTGCCTCATTGCACTGGCTGTGCCCTCTAGTAGCAGGAGCTTATTAAATAACCTCTGGAGTGAAGGACCAGCCTGTCCCTCCATCACACAGGAGGCAGCAGCAACTCACCTCTGCAGAGAAGTCCCCGTGGTGCAGGAGAAGCAAGGTGTCCCCGGACTTGGTGGAGTATGGGACCAGCTGGTCACCCCGCTGCCGGGCTATCACGGTGACCTGGCCAGAGAATTTAGTGTTAGAGCTGAGGGGGGTCATCAGTCCGCCCGGTGCCCGCATCCCTCCGCACTGTGTGCCAACTAGGGGAGTGAGTGAGGACACCCCTGCCAGCCCTGGAGCCTCTCTCTCCACACATCTGCCTGGGGTACACCAGCCCCCCGAGGTCGGCCAAGCTGCTCCATTCGGAGCTTCAGGGAGGACCCAGGCAGAAGCAGGATTCGGGGCAGAGCAGGGCTGGGGGTGGGGCTGGGACTGCACATGACAGGGTCAGGAACATGAGACCAAGTATTTACAGAGCAAAAAAACGGGCTGGGGGAAGAGGGGCTGCATGGGATAGGAAGAACCCTCATTAGGCATAATTATGAGATCCCTCTAGAAGTGCAGCTCTTAACATAGGGTCCATGGATGCCCACAGATGGCTGTGGGGGACTGCCATCTGAAACTGCTCAAAGGCATGCCCGACTGTATGTGAAAGTGAGCACATGAAAGCATTTCCTGGAGGGAGGGTCTGAAGCATTCACAACATTGTCCAAGATGCCTGTGCCCAGGAAGGGTAGGAAGCCCTGCCTTAGTCTGCCCTGGGGGAGCTGGATTACCACGTGAGCTGGGCCCAGGTCGGGGTCATCGCCACTCAGCCCCGCATAGGAAAAGGAGACGCGCAGGTCTCCGACCTGGGGGTGGGAGAGAAGTGAGGTGAGCGAGGCAGGTGGCAGTCAGCCTGGGCTTGGGCCCACGGCGCCGTCGAAGCCTCCACGCCTCGGCTCAGACGGTCCCATCACCTAGAATGCCTCTCCTCTCCCTTTTCATTTGGATGAGTGCAGCTGTGGATTCAACGAAATCGAATCAGAGTCTATAGCAGGAATGTGACTCCTGTGTGTTGTCTGGGATGGTACTCCAAGGCCCTGATCTTTGCTATCTGAGCAGCCCAAGCCCCTGTGTGTACCTCTGGATACTTGGGGTTTTCACTGTGGTAGAAATAGTCTCCCCGGCGAATGATGTCCACGTGGGGGTCCTCTAGCTTGGACAGGCTCAGCGGCTTGAAGTTGTCGATTTTGTCAATGAGGCCTGAGAGAAGTGGGGTGGTTAGAAACAGTGGTGTGCAAACTGCAACACCCTCGGTCTGCAAACCCCTCAGCCTGACACCCTTCCCAGCGCGCCCTCATACACACCTCACAGCCCGGCCATGCTGCTGCCTCCTGGCTCATGCCCCTTGGGGCCTTCGCGAACACGCTCTCCCACCTGGAGCGCCCTTCTCCAACCCACCTCTTGCACAGCTTCTCTTCTGCCAGCCCCATTTCCTCCAGAAAGCCTTCCCTGTCCCCTCTCCCCATCCAGAGTGACCACAGTTCTGGGAATGGCCCTAGCCCTGGACCCATCCCACCTTGCCTCCAGTCACCTGTTTCCCAGCCTGGCTCCCCTGCTGCAGAGAGCACTTGACAGAGCCCCAGGAGTTACTGGGGCGGTGATGCTGCCTTGTCCCTTGCAAGCTTCTCTTGGAGTCACTTGGGAGCGGCCTGTGATGAATCACCCCCTCCCTGGTACAGGGTTGGATGCCAGGTGGGGCTCAGAAGTGAAGCCCTCAGGGGCAGCCTTGTCTCTACTGCTGGCTCGAGGGCACCCTGAGGAAGGGCTCTTGGCTCTCTCTGGTCAGAACTTGCAGCAGCGCCTGGCACTCATTCCCCGGAAGAGCCGGGTTTCAGAGGAACCTGGCTGGGGTAGGGGTGCTCTACATGAGTCCCTTGCACCCTGGGGATCTGCCTTCACCCTGGCCCAAAGTGTGATGCTGGGAAAGTGCCAGCTGATCCCCTGCCTAGGGCAGTGTGGACCCCTTTAACCACCTGAGGGCTGAGTGCTGGGGGGCGACCGCGTGGAAGCACAGGGCCTCTGGGTTGCTGCTGGCTCGCCTGAAGGGGCTGGAGACTTACCTGCCGAGAGGAAAAACCTGCCAATTTGGACGAAGGGGGCTGTTGCCGTGAATGACTCCACTGCCATGGCACTGTGGGAGAGAGAGGGTGCTGTCAGTGGAGCGGGCAGCACGTGGGAGCTGTCTGGTCCCTTTGGGTTGTGCTAGGAAGGGTCCCCATCTAGGGGGCTCCTGCAAGTCCAGACCAGCCCAGGCACTGCAGACATCTTGTTTTCACCACCTGCTCCACTCCCTGGACAGGGTGCCCTCGCTCTGTCTCCTGTCCCCCAGAGCTTTGGAGGTCTCTTGCCTAGACTCCTGCCAGCCGTCAGACGGACCTTCCGTGGCCTTCACACCCTCACTTCCCAGCTCCAGGTAGCATCCACTGTACACATTCTAGGCCTCTCCTGGCACAGCCCTGCCCACGGCTGCAGGCAGCTGTGCTCCAGCTTTATGCCCGCTTCACCATCCCCACGTCCCTGAGCTGCTAACCACCCTCTGCCAAAATCCTCTGAAGGCCCAGATCAAATGCCACTGCCTCCTGAAAGCCCTTCCTGATTGTCCTCCCAGCCCCATGGCTAATTGGTAAAGTGCTCCACTGGTGCGGTACATGCAAATGCCCTTAGGCACTCAGGCCAAGCCTTATACTTGTGACCTGTTTGAGGGGAGCTTGTTTGGGGTCAGAGACGTCGGCTCTTGCCTCTCTGTGTTCCTGGAGCCCAGCACAGGAGCTGGCCTCAGAACCACGTCCCACCCTTCCATCAACTCATGAGGCAGAAGTAACTCAATCCCATTACTCAGATGAGGGAGCTGAGGCTGGGACCTGCCAGTGGCACGCGAGGCTGTGCTCAGGCCTGGGGTCCAGTTCTCACCTAGGGTTTTTGTGGCCAATTTCTCTGTCGAAGTTTCTGCTGTTGACGATCTCCGATCTCCATTCGGTGTCTATTGCAAGGAGAGGGAAAAACTCAGAAACCGTGGTAAGAGTGGCCACTGGCCCCACATTCTCTTATCCAAACTCGTGGTCACTTGGGGGCCAAAGGTGCAGCTCCTGGAGCCTCGCTGGAGGGATAGGAGAGCAGGACCCTGAGGACCGGCACCCAGGGATCCCCACGCCTGGTTCTGTGCCCTTCCCGCTGGCATCAGCCTCTGCTAAAAGCAGACAGCACGTGCGCACAGGGACACGCCAGACTGAGGCGTGGCCCGGGAGGGTGGGGCCCAGTACTCACTGTAGGAGTACCTCCTCTCTGTCTTCACCTGCCCATCCTCGGTGTACTCCCTGCAGGGAAAGCAAGGCAGCCCCAGGGTCAGCCCTTCACTCCTGAGGCATTCCAATCTCTAAGCATCTCTAACAGGAAGCAACTCGGGAAGACCAGGTCAAACTCCCCAGTGGAGCAGGCTTTGTCCGCACCAGCCCAGAGACGGGGTGCTCACTCCCTGGCAGAAAGCCACTTCCATCCCTCGAAGGCCCTGACTGGAGACAAGAGCTTTCTCATCGGGAGCTGAAATCCATCTCCACTGGCTCACGCCAAGGGGCCCAGACCTGCCCTCTGGGCTCAGAGATCTGCCTGCACCCTCTGCTCCAGGACAGCCTGGGGGAGGCCCTGCAGCTGCCCTTCTCCAAGCTGAGCTGAGCTGCCCTGGCTGCCCCAGCCACCTCCCCTCCCCTCACTCAGAGTCCATGTGGCTCAGCTCCAGGTGACCCCAGCCTGGCCAGTGATGGCCTACCCTGAGACTTCTGTCAGAACTGACAGGATGTAGCTGGGAGGCCACCTCTGCCCCTCACAGGAGAGAAGATGGAACCAATGCACGGGAAAGCATTGTTTGCAGCCCGGAGCTGGTCACGGCTCAAGCATGGGCATCCCTGGATAACTTCCTAGATGATGAACCAATCACTCCCCCTTTCTTCCCTGAGCCACTCTGCCTTAGATTCCTGCCATCTCCAAACAAAAGATCACTGGCTAATAATTCTGGCATAATTGGGCATTTCTCTGAGAGGAAGATTTTATACTTGAAATTTTAGAAGCGTCACAATGAAAGCACCCTGCATGTCATCCTAACAGCTGCACCTCACCTGGACTCCTCTGTCTCCACCCACTGGAACATCTCCACGTGCCGCCGCAGTTTCACAGCCGGAAGGTGGACCCCGTAGTTTGGATCAGACAAGAGCTTCAAAAAGATTCAAAGAAACCAAGAAGAATAAAGGCTAACCCTCACATTAGCCCAGAGGGCCGAGCTCCAGGGAAGCTGGACTGGAAGAGAAACCGGCAAGGAGAGCGGGAGCGGGATGGGAGTTCCACGGCTGCTTCACGAGCGAGAATGGAGTGAAGCCGCCTGTTCCCAGTTCTCAGCACTCCTCTGTGACCATGAGCCTCACACGACAGGATCAGGCTGCATGGCCCAATGGCAAGGTGCCAACGACACGTACTTGGTATTCAAACAGGAGAGGTTCAGTAACCAGTGGACCCTTGTAGCCTTGTACTGGACACACGAGCTAATCACAACCGTTTGTAAACCTCGCACCACGTGCCAGGCACTGTACCAAGAGGTTAGCTACTAAATCCCTCGAATCTTCAAACTGGCCTCTGAGTTTGTTATAATTATTCTCCCGATTTTACAGATGAAGATGTTGAGACCCAGGAGTGATGGGTCCACACAGCTGCTGAGTGGTGGAGTCAGAAATCACACCCATGTGTGTCCATCTCCAAAGCCCATGCTTTCAAAATCCTCACCCAGAAACTATCCAGCAAGGCGCCCCCAGCCTCCGGCAGGTCACAGCCATCGCCCAACCTACCTTGGACGTTCGCAGGGCCCCAATGATGTGCACCAGCCTTCCCTCGTTCTCTGGAGCCACAGTGTGGATGCTGTCAGCAGACACCACAAGTGAGAGGCCCTCGGCCAGGGAGGTTGCTGTCTTCAAGGCACGGCCCTATGAGCAAGGGGAGTGAGGCTTCAACAACTTAGGCATGGCTTACACCATTGTGCTTACTGCAGTCTGTCAGGGCAGGATGGGGCCTAAGGGAGCACTGAGACTGATCTCCCCACTTCACGGTTGGAAAACTGAGGTGTAGCAAGGGGCAGAGTTGGGACTGGACCCCAGGATTCCTGCTTTTCTCAGCAGACCTTGTCCCGCCACCCCACTGCCAATCTCAGGACCACCCCCGTGTTGGGAACAGCTGTGCTTTTGCCTGCCCTGTCTCTCCTTCCCTCATTTTCCTCTGCCTTTTCCTCCCCCCGCTTCTCTCGGTCCATGTGGTTTACACGGGCCGATCGGTACAGCTGTCCAAATTATGCGACCCAGGCCTAGCGAATCAGAACATGTGTCCACTGCCAGAGGGACTGGTTCAGAGAGAGGACTAAGACCCAAGCCAGACACTGAGAGATCTCCCTGCGACTTCTGCTAAACTGATTTAGAAAGAGACGGTTCCTCTTTTCTCTGGGGTTGCTAAGCTGGTTGGATGTGACTCTGGATTGCCGGGCCACTTGTGCCACCACAAAGGGAGAGCCTGCCAAAGAAAAATCCACAACAGAGAGAAACAGGCAAGAGATGGAGAAATGGAGATTCCTGGTGACCCAGCATGAATGCCTGGATCTAACCATGCCTGAAGCTGGTACTATGCCAAGGATTTCAGGTGAGTAAAATGATCCATTTCACTTCTTGCTTATGTCAGTTGTGAGGTGGGTCACAACAGAAAGAATTCTGATTAATTCAGCACGCACCGCCCCCCCCATCATTTGTAAAATCTAGGCCCTCATTACCAAATCCAGCCACTAGATTCAGAGCCTTTGCTCCTGATGCTGTGGGACCCTCAATCTGCACAGAGGGACCCAGAACATTTTACCTCATTGGTGAAAATTAAGTAGAAGGAGAGCAGGAAGGTCATGAGCCCCACAAACATTCCACCCGAGGTCTCACTCAGCCGCTCCAGGAAGCCTGGCTGGGGGTCAGTCGTAATTTTGACATGTTCTCTCCTCTTACTCGAACTGGAATACTGAAGGAAAAAAAAAAAACTCACAATGAAAATTGGCGTTAAAAATAAATTGAATTTTCCTATTTATTTATACTCAGTTTTTATTGATTTTTAATTACGTATGGTAAAAACGCAGATATTAAGTGTACAGTTTGACAGGTTTTGACAAATGCATCCCCCATCTGACCAACAGCCAGACGGAGATACAGAACATTTCTGTCACCCCAGGAAGTTTCCTTGTGTCCCTTCCCTGCCAATCTTCCCCTCTCCCCACCCTCTGGAGGTACAACCATTTGAATTTGTATCACTGTAGATTAGTTCTGCCTCTTCCAGAACTTGGTATAAATGGAATCGTACAGCACACACTCTCTTTTGTCCAGATCCTTTAACTCAGCATGGTGCTCCTGAGGTCCATCTCTGTGGTGCTGGGTATGGCAGTGGCTTGCTCCTTTTCCTGGTTGATCAGTGGGCCACGGAAGAGCACACGTTTCTTGATTCATTCCCCAGTGGAAGGGTATCTTGGTTGTTTCAAGTTCTTAGATATTATGAATGACGCTTCCATGAACGTTCATGGACATGTCTTTATGCAGACGTGTGCTTCCATTTCCCTTAGGTATCGCATAGATACCTAGGAGGGGAACTGCTGGATCAGAGGGAAGATATATGTTTTTTAAGAAACTGCCAAATTGTTTTAAAAACAGGTGATTAGAGATACATTTTTAATTCAATTCACCAAACAGTGGCTGAACTTCCAGAGGGCTGTGATGGGCCTTGTAGGGGTAGAGAGGCTTTAGGGCCATTGAGTCACAGCACAAACAGCACTAGGCCATGCTGAGTGTCTGGTGAGAGAAGCGAATCCAGTGCTAAAGGAGTGACCCCTTCCTGCTGGGGGATCAGGGCAGGCTCCCTGTAGGAGGGATGTGAGTGAGCTCTCAGAGGCAGACCCTGGGCTGAGGGCATCCCCAGCAGGCGGAACTATATGAGCAATGGTGAGGAAGGAGGAATTGCTTCTCAGGGAACAGCTGCCTATCTGCTCTGGCTGGGTCGTGGCAGGTGTGGGGAGGAGACAAAGGCAGCTAGGCACGTCTCGGTGGGTTCATGGTAGGCCTCAAATCCAGAATCAGTGGATCAGGCTTTATCCAGCCAATAACAGAAGGATGGTTTGGAGTGTGTCCGCTGCTGTCGAGAGTGTCGTCATCAAGGGCAGGACTCTGCAGCCAGAAGACTGGGTTTGCATCCAGGCTCTGCCGTGCACCAGCCAGGAGACCTCGGGCAAGCAATTCAACCCCTCGGTGCCCTCCATTTCCTCATCGGTAAAATGAGGATAATAATTCAACATGGAGGGTTGTGGGGAGAACCAGAGGACGTAATTATCAGCTGGCTCAGTGCCTAGGGCACAGTAAGCACGGCACAGCTTCTAACTGGTGGAAGGTTATCAGCTTTCTCTGTAACTGATACCAAGGCTGGTACCAAGGCTGGGGATGAGCTGACATAAGCCACAAAGATGTAAAATGGTTCCCAGATGAGCACTCAGGGTGAGCCAGGCCCTGAGTGCAGGACTGGGGGGATCAGAGGAGAGATTCCAGTCAGCCTCTGCTTGAAACAGGTGAAGGCCATGTTCTCTGAATTCTCCCCAAATGCCACGAGCCCAGGCCTGCCAGGGACCAATGTCCACTGCATTCAGAAATGGTCTTGACTTTCCATGCCATTTGGAAACATTAGCGGAGCAACTTGCTGCAGGCAGGTAGGTGACCACCAGCCATCATAATGATGACAGTGGCAAACACACCAGTCTCTCACAGGCCAGTCACGTGCAAGCACAAGGAGGTGGGCGCTATCACTCCCCCACTTCGCAGATGAGAAAACGGAGGCTCAGCAGTGAAGCCATCAGCCCAGATCACTTAGCTTCTGACAGATGGAGTTAGCATTCAAATCCGGGCAGCCCAAGGCCACTCTCCTGCCACTCTGCCCTGGGCTGCATTCCTCACTTCTTGCACTGTAATGAGAGGCGACCATGGGGGGCCAGCTGCAGGCAGGACGGGTCAAGAAAAGAAGCTGGTCCTGCTACTTCCCGCTTAGGAGTATGACACACCCAGTGACATGACACACCCAGCCCACATTCTGAATCCAGCTCCCAGCAAATACAGAGGCTCACGGACTTTCCTCCCTGCCCACTCCTCACTACCCACCCCCTCCCCTAGCTGGAGGGGCACCCTCCTATGCCTTTCTTCCTTCTCTTCAAGGCCATCTTTAAGCCCCTGATCTTGATGTTGGCTCCTTGATGTGTGTTAAATACATATATATATCCTCAGTGACATATACCCTCCCAGTCCCAGCACTCAAGGACTGAAGCAATGAGCAATGAGTGGTGGGAACAGATGTCGACACATAGGCCCTGAAAATCACTTGCTGTGTAACCCTGGGTGAGTTGCACTACCTCTCTGATCCTGTTTACTCACTTATAAAATGGAGATGGTAACAGTACCTCCATCACAGGACAACTGTTACACTGAGTAAGAATTCTGTCGCCTCCCTGCTCCACCCTACCATCTTCAGATCTTTCTTCCTCACCAGCCCTGGTGGCTCCTCCAAATGTGCACCCAGCTACTGGATGAATCAACCAAGGTTTGGGAGGAGAGGATAAGCAAATTCATCTACATTCCTTGGCGAAGGTCAGGTCCCAACATACTTGAGGTGGTCTCTGCCCACCAGGATTGTGAAGATAGGCTTTTTTTTGATGCCTTAAGTACCTACTATGCACAGTCTCCCTTAAACTTCACAGTAACAGATCCTTTGATGAAATATAAACAGCAAGAGATTGAGGCCACACAGCTACTGAGAGGAAGACTCTGGACTGGCCCCCAGGTCGGCCTGACTCCAGAGCCTGCAGTCTTTAGCACCTTCCCACGACACGTTCCCATGATGTGGCCTGCCTCTCCCGGGCAGACCCTGGGTCTCACAGACCACCTCTGAGGCTTTTCTTGGTGCAGCATTCAAGGCTCCAAGGCCTCCTAGACAACTCTAACACCAGGCAGAGTGTGCTACGGCTGTGGGTGACACAAACCCTGGCTTCCTGCCGGTGGGGGGGGGGGGGGCGGCACAGAGGATGCCTAGGGACAGAGGAGGGGCCTGAAAAGGGGGTGTAACAGGCCAGGGGAGAGTAGCCAGGACGCTCCACCAAAGCAGGAGGGAGGGATTGTCGGGGGCTGGCAGGGCTCCCGAGCTGGCTCCAGAAGCACTTTCACAGAGGATCGGAGTGGTGAGTCACCAGCTTCTCCCACACCCAGCGCCCTGGTGGGAGGTGCTGCTCGGTTTGTTGAATGAATGTTGGGCTTAAATGGAAAGATTCTGGCTGGATGTGGGGAGAAGAGGCCTGCAGCCTTTGGAAGGGAACCATCTTCTGCCAGGGCCTCTCTAACCAAATCCACGCTAGGAAGACGAGGGGCCCGAGAGCAGGGAAATGCTCCCTCTCACAGTCATCCTAACTCCTCCGCTCCCGACCTAGCCTACGCCCCTTTACAGCATCACAGCCTCGGTTTACATACCGCCGAGGGCGGGGAGCTCAGTGCCCGCCCGGACAGCGGCACCGCCGGACAGCCCGCCTGTCTGTCCGTTGCTGGAGAGCTCCACCTGGGCGGTCTCGGCTTCCCCACCCTTCCCGCGGAAGGCCCTCTCTCCGAGGTCCCGACCAGCTCTCCGAGTCCGCAAATCTGAGAACCCCGAGGGCCCAGGCGGGCAGAGGGAAGGAACGGAGGGGCTGCGGGGAGGCGCCGCGCACAAGCAAATCCCAACGCCGGGAACAACACGTCCGGAGCCTCCCTCCCCACAAACCCGCGACCCGAGGATGAGGTGGACCGAAAGGAATCCGGACAGGCTAAGAGAAAAGAACGGACGGACTAGCTGCCGGAGGCACAGAAACGGGCACGCAGAGGGTTTGGGGATGGCCGCCCCGACAAGGGTCAGACAAGCAAAATGGACCTCGGCGGCCCTGCGGGGAAGAGGAGGCCGCGGCTGATGGGGAAGTCTGGGTGTGGCCCGGCGGACCAGGAGACACTCACGTTCGCGGCCATGGTAGTACCCAGCTCGCCGCCCCGTCGCTCTGCTCAGCTAAGAAGGGGGCTTACGGCCCGAGTGCGGGGTCCAGTTGCCTCTCCTCTGCGTGAGAACTGCGACAACCTGCGTTAAGCCCAGAACCAGAGGAGACACGCCAGTAGGTTACCGCCCCATGGGCCCCCAGCTTTTCTGCTCATGCGCGCCGCACGGCCTCCTGGAAAATGTAGTCCAGGGTCAGGCGCTTTAGCTACAACGTTGCAACATGCACTGTCCATCATTGATGCGCCTGCGCACTGCAAGACTTTCTGGGAAATGTAGTTCCTACTCCCTAGAGAGTTGCTGAGCGGCGCGCGGCCTGCTGGGAAATGTAGTTCCTGGCTGAGGCGGGTCAGGCTGGGGCTGGGAGGGCGCGGAAGCAGGCGCGCGGCGGGCAGGCCCGGAGGGGGCGGGTCCCCGCGGGCCTCGGAGCCGCCCGTCCCGCCTGAGGAGAGGTCACGGCGTGAAGCCGCCGCCGCCGCTATCGCTGCGAGATCTGAGCGCTGGGCTGCAGCCATGGCCTACTGCCGGCAGGAAGGTAGGGAGGGCGGGCTGCCATGGAGACCGGCCTACGAGGGCCTGCAGGGGACACGCGGTCTAGGCAGGCCCCGGCGCCCAGCGACCCCACTGCCGGCGATGGCGACCTGGGCCGCGGCTCGGGGTACCCTCCTCCTGACCTTTGGAGCGGGCTGGGCGACGGGGGTCGCCACCCCCATTTTGCAGATGCGAAAACCGAGACTCTGGGAGGAACGAGGCAGGTCCAAGGTCACGGTGAGGCTCGAACTCGGAGCGCAGAGGGACCCGCACGTGGAGAGCTCATAAACTAGGCCGGAGGGGGTAAGGGAAGTGCTGAGCACGTTTCCTCTGGCTCGTAACTGGAAATGTATTGTTATTAATTGTTACTGTCCCTCTCACCACGCACCACGTGTTCCATTTGCGTGCGCCTTTTAACTGTCCCCAAAAGTTGCCGCACGGGTTAGGTGCTGTGCTGGAGTGGTAGAGGTGTCGCCAACGGGAACACGTATTGAGCCCCAACTACATATCAGGCACTGTTCAAGGAGCTTTATAAGGCTTATCTCATTGGTCTCACAGCGACCTTTGTAAGTCAGGCTCTGTTGTTATCCGCCTTTTACTAAAGAGTAAACTAAGACACAGAGGTGACTTGGCTAAAGCCATGCGGCGGGTAAGGCGTGGAGCTGGGGTCAGAGCCCTGGCAGTCCGATTCCAGAGCTGCACTGTCCTATCTGGTGCCGGCTGGATTGCAGGGAGCCCTCTGCTGGGAACCCCCCACCCCCACCCCGTGACCCAACAAACTTGGGCTCCGCCTACCATCCCTCTGCTTCCCTGTTGTTACCTTTACCCGAGAGCTCAGAAGTGTCCAGGTCGGAGGTCCCAGGGCCTCCGGCACACACTGTCATTACTTGGCTCTTTATCCCTGAGCTACCACCTAACCCTCCAAGCCCCAGTTTCCAATCCTGTAAAATGAGAAGTTGGTCTTCATCCATTCAGCAGATACTCGTGAAGCACCTTCCCTGTGCCAGGTGATGGGGATGGTGGACACCTGAGAATATAAAGCTACAGAGAGAGTTGGAACTCATCTAGAAATTCTGTGGTGAATAGTCCCGCCCCTCAGTTTAATTCAGGGAATCTGAAGCCCAGAGAAGGAGATGACCTACCCATACATCCAGTTAGGGGAACAGCTCAGTCTAAAATGCTAAGCCTTTTCTCCAGTACCCTACCCTGCTTCTAGAATCCCTCCTCTTCCCTGGGTCATAAAGCCGTAGTACTCACTGATGTCCGTACTGAGTACTATTTCTGTTGACTAATACTTCCTTGTGCCATGAACAGAAGTCCTCTGCCCTCACCACTTTGTTAGACAGTAGGTCTCTTGTTTTTAATTTCCTTTTTCTGAGTCTCTAATTTACTTCTTCATTTAGTAAATAATTTTGAGCCTGTTGGATATAATGAGGCTGTGTAGGTAAATAAGGCCCCTCTTGCCCTTGAAGATTTCTAGACGTCACAGGTTATCTGGGAAGGAGAGGCAGTTTCCATCTGCTACCAAAGCATGGATCCTTATCTTTTCCTGGTTGAAAGATCTCTCTCTTAGTTTGGCGATGAGAATTGAAAGCACTCACTTTCAGGCCTTCTCTAGTTTTTATCTTATCCATACTAGTGTCCCCTCAAGCTTCAACTTGTTTCTACCCACTTATTTTTTTATGCTTCCCATGGGACTTAAAAAAAATGATCCCAAACTATTTGCCATTTAAGGGCTCATGTGATCTAGCTCCCGCCCAATCTAGCTTGAGCCTCATCTCTTTCCACCTCACCACTGCTCAGCCACATTGGCCTCTTGGCTGTTCCCTTTGCCTGGTACCTCCTTCCTCCATCTCTTCCATGGCTGGCTCCTCAGCCTTCAAGATTCGGCTCAAATGTCACCTCCTCAGAGAGGTCTTCCCTGACCCTTTGTGTCTTTCACATCCTAAACTCTCTGAAATTACCTTGTTCATTTTTGTCATCTTATTTCCCGTCTGTCTTCTTGGACTAAGCTGAGAGCATTAGATGGGCCACATCCCCAGCACCTAGCACAGAGCCTGGTGTACAAATGGGCGCTCAGATCTTTATTGAATGAACCCATATGCATGTCTGCCCTCTGTTGTGAGTGAATCACTTGCCTGTGCAAATTTACTTCAGGGGTCCCCCCACCACGCAGCCTTCAGCACACAGGCCTTAGCTTGGCATTCACGGTGTTCCACAACGTGGGTTCAGCCTCTCTCCCTGGCTTTGGACCACCCACGCTTTTCTGTCTCAGCACCACACTGTTTCTTTCTTGAGTTTCTTCTAATGCTGAGCCTGCCCTCCCCTGTTCAGTCAACAAACATTGATTGAGCTCCTGTGATGCTCCAGCCACTGAGCATGTGAGCACAGGTGACACAGTCTGCCCTTGTGGCATGCTGGGAGAGGTGGGCGCTCCTTCTGAGTTGGACATGCTGAGAGTCTGATATGTAAAGATCTTGTGCATGTTTGTGGTCCCCTTTCTGGGGGAAATGAGACCACCCATCCAAGGGTTTTCTCTCACCTCCTTAATGGTGATAACCGTTCTGTCTTCCTGCCCTCTGCTGGGGCTGGGGTTTTCATGTCCTAATCCAGAGTTCGGTGTCTCCATTTAGTTTTTCAACAAATATTGTTTACCCACTATGCTCTGGGCACTGTTCTAGGCTCTGGGATACTGCAGTGAATGGAATAGACAAATCCATGCCCCTGAGGAGCTGACATTACAGTGGGGGAGACGGGTGGTAAACAGGTATATAATATGTTAGGTGAGGAAAAGCACTTTGGAGAAAAAGAGGGTGAGAGATGAGGAGTGGTCAGGGAAGGTGGCATCAGGAGGTGTGAAGTTAGGGAGAGGGTGGCTCTGAGGATATCTGAGGAGAGCATCTGGAGAGAGAGCAGCCTGTGCGGAGGCCTAGAGGTAGGTGTGTGCTCAGCATGTCAAAGTAAAAGCAGGGAGGTGCTGGAATGGAGGGGCCAATGGTGGGAGACGGGCTCATGGAGGTGAGGGATGCAGATCTTTCTGGATGTGTTTGATGGTAGAGCCAACTGGATTTGATGATGGAGTGTGAGAGAAAGATAGGGGTCAAGAATGGCTGTATAACTATGGAATTGGGGTATCTTGGTATCCAACTGTTCAATTAGTCCTGTTCTCAGCCCCACCCTGAAGTCCTGTTTTCAGAGTGACCACTGGGGCCTCCGATTCCCGACCCTTACTGGGGTCCTGGGGTGGGGATTAGTTGACTTCCCCTCCTTGTGACTTTGGGTTCAGCTTTCTCCATTTGTCAAGTCAGAGAGCACTCCTCTACCAGCTTTCCTACTTCCAAAATTTTATTGACATGTCTCGCCTCTGATTGTCTCTCTTCCTGGCCATTTTATCCTTATCATTTGATGCCATTTAAAAAATTACTGTCTTTTGAGCAGGATTTCAGGTAAGAGCAGAAACTCATTTCACCTCCTTTGTTAACCAAGTATCTTGACTCTTGCCCTAACCACAGGAGATAGGTAGGCTGAGCTGGTTGGGGAGGCCTGTTTTCTGAGGCCCCAAGACAGTGCCTGAGATCATGGCCGTTATGTGCTTATGCTCAGATTTGAACCCCAGTCCTAAGACTCTGGAATATTGATGCCACTGTGAGCCAGACCTCCCAAAGCTGGGCTTAAATCTCAGGCTCATGCCTGTGCTTTTGTTCTTTCCACAGCTGGTTTTGAGCCCTTACTGTGCCCATGCAACAAACATGAGCACCATCTGGGTACCAGGATTGGGGACGCAAAGATATGTGCCTGCCCAGAAACCATGGTCAGATCACTCAAGGAACCTTCTTTCCCCAGTGCTGTGGTGTGAATGTATCCCCGCTAAATTCATATGTTGAAATCCTAACCCCCATGGGGCCTTTGGGAGTTGCTTAGGTCGTGAGGGTGGAGCCCTCATGGTTGGGATTAGTGCCCTGTAAAAGAGGCTCCAGAGAGATCTCTAGCCCCTTCCACCCTGTGAGGACATAGTGAGAAGGCGCCTGCTGTGAACCAGGAAGATGGCCCTCACCAGAAGGTGACCGTGCTTGATCTTGAACTTCCAGTCCCCAGGACTGTGAGCAGTAAGTTTCAGTGGTTTATAAGGTACCCGGTTGGTATTTTGCTATAGCAGTCTGAGTGGACCAAGACATCCATGCAGAATGGGAAAAATGCCACCCTCACAGGCTCAGAATGATCAGAGTTCCGTGGGATCATTCCCTCCTATACATCATTTCTGTCCGTGAAGCCTCTAAGACTTAGGTTAAGCCACCACGGTCAACTAAAGGTGTCAGTAAACTTCAGCTTAATTTTAAAAGTGTGGAAGAGGCAAGGAGCAGCAAGATCCAGGACTTTACTCTCAAGGGACTTGTAATCTGAAAGTTGGTCCAGATTAAGCTATTTTTGCTTGTGTAATTATGGAACTAAAGTGCCAGTGAGGGAACCAAACCTCAGTTAAGGACCCCAGGGGTTGTGCTCTAGTGAGCACATTTCTGTGACGCTGGAAGGGTTCACTCATGTTAACAGCATTCAGACAGGTGCTAGTTCCGTCTTGGTAGACTTACCAGATGTGTGGCCTTGGCCTAGTTGAGGATTTGAGGAACCCAGCCTGGGAGTCAGCTGTCAGGGATGGAGGACTGTACAGTTCAACCCACCTAGGGGCTGCACTTTGATAAGCATGAGGGAACTGGTCATGGGAGCGAGAGCGTGGGGAGATCAAGGCTGTGAGCTGACCCCCTGGGGAGCCCCAAGGAGATGGGTGTGCGTGGCCCTCCGAGAGGGACAGTGGCGAGCGGGAGAGCAGGTTAAGTTGTCTGTGAGGTTGTCAGGAGCCACACTCAGCTAGTGAGTGAAGGTTTCTGAGGCCGAGTTCCAGGCCTTTTTAATGTCTTTTTGTGTGTGTGTGTGTGTGTGTGTGAGGAAGATCAGCCCTGAGCTAACATCCATGCTAATCCTCCTCTTTTTGCTGAGGAAGACCAGCTC